CTTGCTTTGACTAGCTGTCAGAGCGATCACAGCTGCAGGGACGGTGCAATCAGGTGCTCCTAGCCTGCCTTGGATACCGAGCAGTGTTAACCCAGTGATCTGGTGTTAACATGAGTAAATTACAGAAATTGTCCATCATGCGTCCTCAACGGTAGGACAAGCATGACGGAAAATTTCAGTCATGCGTCACGAAGGGTAAAGGTATTTTGGTATTTTTCGTGAAGGTGTCCTATATCTTGAAGGGTTAAAATGACTGGCTACTTCACCCAGCCTTTAGTGGTTCTTTAAAGATGATGCCTGTGTGTGTGTGTGTATATGTATGTATGTATATATATATATATATATATATATATATATATATATATATATATATAGTGTGTGTATAGATCTTTTTTTTTTTTTTTGTCATTCACTTATAACTTATCCATTACTTGCTATAACTATATATTAAATGCTTCTTTTGCAGCAGTGTAGAATGAAATTACTTACATGTTACAGATAAATTCCTCCTTAACTTGCTACTTGTGTTCTCTAACGTAAGCAATGATAATCTAGAACGCACCTCTCTGCCAGAGTTGCTTGGTTGCTAGGTGTTGTAATGCATGTCTGACACTTGTATTAAGACGTTTATGTTAAGTGACATTAAGTTGCCTGAAAGCTTTGGTGTACAGGAATGCCACATGTCCAAATATGAAGTGAGAGGAAGACAAAGAAGTGGCTTCTTGGTCCAGTTAAGCAATCTGACTGGGGTGCCTTGTATAGGGATATTTTGATGGTGGAAGGCTGACAATGCTGGTCGATGCATGGGTATAGCTTATGTATGTCTTGAAATGTCACACCCACATGCACACTGTGCTATGACTTGTAAATTTACACTCACATGCATATGGTTACCAAGCACCTTTAATATTACTTTGTTTTCCATAACAAGAGGCTCCAGTGCTCACAAAACGACTACTTGTGGCGTTTTGTCAAGTCATTAGGTCATTGAATACTCTGCTCTGTCCCTAATCATGTTGTTTTTTTTTTTTTTATACATTTATTTATTATTGGAGTATTAGATCTGTCAAAACTGCACATCGCCAATACATTTTATCCAAATTGAATTCAGTTTGTTTTCAAGTACATCTACCTAAAATTGCCAATGCCAATTTTTAGGATCGTCTCAAGGGAGCACAGGTGGCCATGGTAAAATGATTGAGCCCATAGAAAAGATCAAACTCTTGAACAGACTTGAACCTTTTTTTTTTTTACACTATAAAACCTGTGATCCCAATTGATCTGTAACCTTCTTTTTTTTTTTTTTTTTTTTAACATTTTGCAGAAACCCATGTTACTCCCAAGCAGTTAGATTTCTGTTGCCATAATGACGCCTTTAGCCTCTGTTATACAGTACCTTGCCATTAATATGACACCCTTCTTAGTAAGTAGCAAGTGTTGAAGAGCTATAAATGTGCACTTTCCACTGATCGTTATAACAATAGCCATAGCAAGGCAGGGAGTGTGTGTTTGAACTAAAAATTTAATAGTGTTGGATTTCACTATGTCAGGATGAAGCGATGTGTTTATTTCTGTCTTTTCCTTGGACAAACATGAATACCTTGAATCAATTTCTTGTAAATGATATTCCTTAAATAAAAATCCAATGAAATGCTGGAAGATGTTCTTCACAAGTCTTTTTGAGCTGAGATGCACTGTACGGCAGCTTGTATAAACTAGTGTAGGTGTATGGAATGAGAAATAAAAGTATGTATGAACTGTGTAATAAGGGAAACTTAATGTCATTGAGGGCTTCTGGAGACCTTAAAACTAAACCATTAGACCAGTGGTTCAGATATATATTTTTCTATTTAATGAACATTTGTAGGAATTCTTTTTAAAAATAAATAACTTGGCAGTTTGCATCATCTTTTTCTAATCTTAGAACTATATGTACGGTTTGTGTGTGTTTTGTATAGGTTAGTCACCATGGAAACTGTTCCCATTTTTCCTAAATGTGGGTCACCAAGGTCTTAAATCAGAATAGTGGAAGAGGGGCCCATAAATTCAGGACTGTACCACCAAAAGCCAGACTATATAATTTAATTTGTTTTGTGTTTTTAAGTATATGCACACTCTGCATTATCTACTTATGCTCTGTAAAGGTTTGTATTGTGCCTTTCTTGGTGATCCTGCTGGATTGCATGTGATTGGCAAGTTGTCCACCTTATTACATCGATGGGCGAATGCAGGGCTCAACAAATCCCAGGCTCCATTGCGTCTAGGAATTTTGCCTTGGCGCCTGGAATATGCAAGCTCCTTACCGCCGAGGCGAGTGGGCAGGGGTGGCTGCGTGAATAGTAGGCGTGAATCTGCTCCCTCACATGCAGCTTAATGAGACCCGGTTTCACTAAGCGGTGCATGAGGGCGGGGGAGCAGAGCAGACACATCACATTCACCGTACTATTCACGCAGCCAGCCGTCCGCCCTGCACGACCACCCAGCATGCCGCCTGCCACCATAATCCTCCAACTTGCTGCCCACCTGAAAGATCCCCCAGCATGTCGCCCGCCTGCCGGTCCCCACAGGTATAGAAACCTAGAATGTGACGGCAGATAAGAACCATTCGGCCCATCTAGTCTGCCCAATTTTCTAAATACTTTCATTAGTCCTTGTCCTTATCTTATAGTTAGGATAGCCTTATGCCTATCCCACGCATGCTTAAACTCATAGAAACATAGAGGTATCAATATAGGCAATAATGTGTGTCTCTGTGTGAGGGTATGGGTCTGTCTCTGTGTGAGGGTATGGGTCTGTCTCTGTGTGTGAGGGTATGGGTCTGTCTCTGTGTGTGAGGGTATGGGTCTGTCTCTGTGTAGGGTATGGGTCTGTCTCTGTGTGTGTGAGGGTATGGGTCTGTCTCTGTGTGTGTGAGGGTATGGGTCTGTCTCTGTGTGTGTGAGGGTATGGGTCTGTCTCTGTGTGTGTGAGGGTATGGGTCTGTCTCTGTGTGTGTGTGGGTATGGGTCTGTCTCTGTGTGTGTGAGGGTATGGGTCTGTCTCTGTGTGTGTGAGGGTATGGGTCTGTCTCTGTGTGTGTGTGTGTGAGGGTATGGGTCTGTCTCTGTGTGTGTGTGTG